CCACTGGGGCCTTCGGTGGAGCCCCCTATGGGGCCACGAAGCGCTGTGCTGGGTGGTGGATGACGCATGCGGGCGGTCCCACTGGGGCCTTCGGTGGAGCTCCCTACGGGGTCACGAAAAACTGTGCTGGGTGCTGGATGACGCATGGGGCGGTCCCACTGGGGCCTTCGCTTGAGCTCTCTATGGGGCCACGAAGCGCTGTGCTGGGTGGTGTATGACGCATGCGGGCGGTCCCACTGAAGCCTTCGGTGGAGCTCCCTATGGGGCCACGAAATGAGGGAGGAGCGGGAGGAGGAGGAGGAGGAGGAGGAGGAGGAGGAGGATGAGGAGGAGGAGGAGAAGGAGGGAGGGGGAGGAAGGAAGGAAGGAACGAAGGAAGGAGGAAGGGAGGAGAACGCGTGGTCCGACTCTTCAAAACGAGAAACCAACAACACAGGATGGTTATGAACAACAATATTGGATCTTACTTAGTTTCTCATCGAGCGGAAATCTGCCGGCCCTGCGCGAACTTGGCGCTGACGACAATGGAACGCAACAAGAAGAGAACCCTGGGCCGGAGCCTCCTCTGGGAAATATGCATGAAACGTGCCCCGATGGCCTCGGATGGCAGGTTTGCTCGGGACATCCTCCACAAATCAGCTTCGGAGGAGACTCTGAATCTCAAAATTTGCCGTTTCGCACGGGACATCCTCGTAAACGAACGATCTGCGCTCCGAGGGACACGAAGGGCTCAATTCGGCACACCCCTCACGCTCTCAACTGATCTCTCAGACGGCTCAGGGGAGCTTAAATTCGGGGCACACCTTCGTCCCCCATCGACATCCAAAAGGCAGTCCAGCCCCCTATGGGACGCCAACATGGCCCCAAGGAACATTGCAACGACCTCGTCGAGGCAGTATCCCGAGCTCGGCGGCAAACGAGGGGGCGTAGTGAAAAGGAGAAGGCCTTTTCAGACGGCGGCGGGCCTTCGCAGAATCCTTTGCGCCATTCCAGCAATTTGTTGGTGTCTTCGGGGAAGGCCTTTAAAACTTCTCAGAAGGCCGGGGGACTTCCGAGCCTCCTGAGAAAGCATTATCCTTTTCACTTCCCCCCCGGGCTCCTCTCCGACTGAGAGCCACTGATTGCAACATCTGCGTGCAGACCTCCCCCCAATGGGGCCCGCCGTGACTCCCGCTCTGCGGGGGCTGCTCCATTCGGCGGGGCCCCCTGCGGGCCCTCTCGCCTTGTCAGCCGTCGAGGGTGGGTGATGAGATGATGATGGCCATGATCGACCCACGAACCCGGAAAGGAATACAGAAATGCCAGGCGTGGCAACGCCTCAAAGACAGGCTGAATGCCGGCGACGGGCAAATGCAATGCTGAATGTATCGATCTTGATGTACCGTGCCGAGGGCTGTGCTGTGCTACGCCGTGCTGAACTGAGATGTGCCATGCCGCGATTGTGCTCTATATAGCGTTGTGGATCGAGTCCGCCCTGGCATCCGAGTCCTGACCGAACTGATCTGGATCTTAAGCTCGAGCTGCCTGAGCAGATGGTAGCTGCCCTAGAACTAATCGGCAGAGGGGACATACCAGGAGGACGCGCCGCGGAACGTCCCAAGGGACGCGCCAAGCGACGTGCCAGAGGAGGTGCCATGGGCACGCACCGCAGGACGTGCCAAGAGGACGCGCTATGGAACGTGCCAATGGACGTGCACCGCGGGACGTGCCAGGGGACGCGCCGCGCAACGTGCCAGGGGGACTCGCCACGGAACGCGCCAAGGAACGTGCCAAGGTGCAATGTTGAGTGTATCGATCTTGATGTACCGTGCCGACGGCTGTGCTGTGCTGGGCCGTGCTGAACTGCGATGTGCCATGCCGCGATTGCGCTCTATATATAGCGCTGTGGATCGAGTCCTCCGTCCTCGTTGCATCCGAGTCCTGACCGAACTGATCTGGATCTTAAGCTCGAGCTGCCTGAGCAGATGGTAGCTGCCCCATAACTAATCGACAGGGGGACACGCCAGGAGGACGCGCCGCGGAACGTCCCAAGGGACGCGCCAAGCGACGTGCCAGAGGACGTGCCAGAGGACGTGCCATGGGCACGCACCGCGCGACATGCCAAGGGGACGCGCTACGGAACGTGCCAATGGACGTCCACCGCGGGACGTGCCAGGGGACGCGCCACGGAACGCTCCGCGGAACGTGCCAAGCAACATGCCAGGCTGCAATGCTAAGGGTATCGATATTGATGTACCGTGCCGAAGGCTGTGCTGTGCCTGGGCGACCTGGACATGTGAAAACACGCGTTTCGCTCAAGACGTTCTCAGCACATGCTCATGCTAGACATCCGCCTGGGCAACCTGGACACGTGCAAACAAGCGTCTCGATCGAGACTTCGTCAACACATCCTCATGCTAGACATCCGCCTGGGCGACGAGGACGCGTGAAACCAAGCGTCTCGCTCGAGACATCCTCAACACATCCTGGCGCTAAACATCTGCCTGGGCAACCTGGAGGCGTGAAACCAAGCGTCTCGCTCGAGACATCCTCAAGACATGGGCACGTGAAAACAAGCATTTCACTTCAGAGATCCTTTGAATTCTGGCCCCCAGGAGGGGACAATCTATAACACAAACAAGCGTTTCGCTCGAGAAATTCTGAAACACAAACGTTTCGCTCGAGACATCCTCAAAAATAATGCCGCCGGCCCTCAGCGACCTCGTTTTTATCGCAAAATAATTCCGCCAGCCCTACAGCCGTCGATTCCGGGGGTAAACCTCTAAAAGAGAACCCTGGGCCCACGCCCTTTCCAGGAAAAAGAAGATGGTGAGAAGCACGCAACATGAATACTAAATAAAGCGTTGCGCATTCCGCCGGTCCGAAGATGTTTCGATAAGGCCAATTGGTCTTCATTCTCCTGGGGCGCGAAAAAAATACAAGTGACATGCGTTCGCAGGGCTAGGCCCGTGTTCGTGACAGCTCCAGGGGTGCGTAGAAATAAAAGTAGTCTGCACCCCCACGGCTTCGAAAGCCTCGATTCGGTACACCCCTCACGCATTGCCTGCCCCTTACTCTCTTCGGGTACGTGATAATACTACTGATTTGCGCTTCCAGAGCAACGAAGGCTTCGATCCAGCGTACCCCTCACACATGTCCTGCTCCACGCTCTACTGGGACACGTGAAAATACAAGTGTCTCACACCCAAAAGGCTGTCCGAACCCCCACGGGACGCAAACGTGCCCCCAGAACCATTGCAACGAGTTGTACCCACCCTCGTCGAAACAGTATCCCCTAACACCCAGTGATTGCAAAATCTGCGTGCAAACTTCCCCCCTCGGGGCCCTCCGTGACTTCCGATTTGCGAACTCATTTCGGTGCCCCCCCAACGGGTCCTCGCCGTGTTAAGCTTCGAGACGACATGGTACACGTAGATATACAATGATACGTGCTCCCAACGTTAGGTCCACTCGGGTGACAGCCCTGAGGACATGTAAAAACACGAGTGTGATGCGCCCGCAGGGCTGCGAAAGCCTCGTTTCGGCGCATCCCTCACGCATTTCCATTCTGACATGACTCTGGGACGTGATAAAGTGAAGTGAGCAACGCCTTCATTACTACGACATCGTCATTTCAACACACCACTCGTTTCGCAACGTGCAAATAGCGGTGATCTGCGCTCCGAGGCCATTCGATGCCCCTCGAAACGCCATCATGACCAGAACCATCGCAACGATTGGTACCGACCCTCGCCGAGGCAATATCCCGAACACCAAATGGTTGCAACATCTGCGTGACAACTTTCTCTTGGGGGGCCCACGTGACTCCCGGTCTGCGCGCTCAATGAGATATGTATGACGAGGAGGCACATGTGGAGAAGACAACGAAGAGAGATGAGGAATTGGGGGGACAGAGATTTGATGATTAGAAAAAATAAAGAACGATGAGGCGAAGGAAACGAAGAAAGGGCGAAGGAGACAGATGGTCATGAAGGGTTTTCCCTGTTTATCCGCAAACCTTCCCTTCCAACTCCTACTCCGCCACCTCCTCCCCCGCCTCCTCTTCCTTTAACACCCTTCTCATGCTCCTCCTCCCGTCACCACCCCCTCTCTGGGCTGGAAATGCGCTGTCCAATGGCATGCGTTGCTCTTCCCCATACATCTCGTGACCCTGCCCACGTTCGTCCTGTGGGCTTCTCCGAGACGAGGGGATGCCGCAAGTTTCTGCGGCAGCCTGCTGAGGTGACAACAAGGTCCCACCCACGCGTCACATCAGGGCAACTGCACATGGCCGCCGCGTGCAACTCTGCATCTACTGTATCGCTGCATCGTGTCGACTTCAAAGATGCCTGGGAGGCAATCCGCAGTTGGCATGCAGCCCCTTATAACAGCTACCCCCACTGCCGCCCAAGAGTCAAGGCATGTCTACATACATCACGACTCCAACAGACATGCCAAGTGCCACCCGACAGAAAAACGGCCACATCTCGCTGAAGCGGCGATTAGAGGAACACGACGCCAAATGACATCCACAACCCCAACTGCGTCCGAGTCGTGTAATTCGTCTCTAGCGGGGCACATGGTATCTGCTGGGCAGCCGCGCGATACGCACGAAACCGTGTCGATCGCCATGCGGTGCTTACAGGGGAACCTGGCACTGGGGCAGTGCTGCTACGAGACTATAACGCGACCTTTGAATGGAGACAACTTGCTCCCTACGTGAACGTGATGGTATGTTGTTCCCACTGTCAAATTCCAAGCCACACCTGTCTTCCTATTTCTCCTCTTGGCCAGAATTCGCTAACACTGCGCCTGCGCCAGCGCGCCAACTCGGGCAATGCCTCGTTGGGGGGAGCAGTGGTGGGGGGAGAAGAACGTGCACCTTCCGTGCCCCTTTTGGGCCCAAGGGGGCCCCCTTAGGGCACAAGAAGGTGCACCTGCCTTCCCCCCACCACTAATCGCTGATCGCCAATACGCAACGCCCGACCAAAACCAGCCCGCCTCTTCCTGGGCCCTCTCGCCTTAATGCCGTTCTGGGGCAGGTTGGTCGCCAGCCAAACGTCGTCGCTCACCTTGCTTGCTTGGGCGGGCAGCCCCCGCGGCGCATGCCGCGAGGTGCAATCAGACGCCGCCCTCTCGAGAGCGACTGCGCTGTCGCCGCCTGTGCTTGGCGTAGCGTACACCTCGAAAGGCTCAGCCCCCAGAGGAACACCACCCCCGCCAGGGGAAGGCACCCCAAAAGTCGCTCCTTTACGGCAGATTCGTGTCGTGTCGACCCCGGCGTTGGCCCCTGACACCGCTGGAATGGATCAACCCGGAATGATCAGCTGTTTCCAGAAAGTCAGATCGTTCAACACCGACCGATTGCGGGTCGCCGGCGGCGTTCAACTTTGAACGCCGGCCGCGGGGTCGCCGCAGGTTGTCACGACGTGAACCTTCCTTGCGAGCCCAGGACCACGGCATCGGCGGCGTGTGAAGGGGCGTGGTCGATCAAAAGAGCCAAGACGCACGCCAAGCTACGAGGACACAGGCTCGTGGTCTCGCTGACGCCCGAAGGCCGCCGAGAATTCCCGGGCAGCGGAAGGCGCAAACCAAACAGTGGCCGGTATCAGCGGTTTGGGGCGCAGGGGGGCAGCGAGTCGCTTGCGTGTCCAGTGTGGGCCAGACCGCCGATTAGAACTCATCCAGCTGGCGTGCGGCTGGCACTATGACTATCCGAGAGGAGATTCGGGTCGGGCGAAAGGGGGGGATAGCACAAAGGGGGGGGTTGAGAATCAGCTCACGTAGCTGATTTTCCCGGCGCCTCCCGGCGCCGGAGGCGGCTATGCATCGAGGAAGAGGGCCCTCGGCGGGGCCGACACCAGCTGCATGCAGCAAACTTCGTACCCCCCCCCCCTATCCCAATCCCCCCCCTCTCGCCCGACCCGAGAGAGGGGGGCGAGAGACAGCTTCTCGTCTCCGTCGCCGCGCGGCGGAGGCGACCCGCACGCGCGCCCGAGGCGGCCGGGAGCGGGCGGACGGATATAGAGCGGCAGGAGAGGGGCCGAGGGGGCGCGGAGGGCGGCCGCAGGGCCGGGAGTACGAAGGGAGGGCGCCGACTGCGCGAGAGAGGGCAAGGGGCTGCCTTTGTCTCCTGCAGCGTTCGTTTGGCGGGGCCCCAGGCAACGGTACCCCTTTCGGGTCGGGCGAAAGGGGGGGATAGCACAAAGGGGGGGTTTGAGAATCAGCTCACGCAGCTGATCTTCCCGGCGCCTCCCGGCGCCGGAGGCGGCTATGTCTTGAGGAATGGGCCCCTCGGTGAGGCCGAAACCAGCTGCATGCCGCAAATTTCGTAACCCCCCCTTTCCCAATCCCCCCCTTTCGCGCGGCCCGACCCTTTGGCGGGACGGAGTACGTCGGGGCAGGCGCGCGCTGCCATCGCCATGGTACCCGCGCGAGCGCCAGAATGGTGTGGGGGGGGAGGCAGCCCCCCTACGTACGATGCTTACCATTACCAGGGGAGGGGGGGGGGACAGTTTGGCCAGGGTAACGACCGTTACGCGGCAGAGGATCAAACAAAGATCTCCAGGGTCGAGCTGCGGCAGGAGTGCACACACACCTGGGCTTCGACTGAAATCCTGCGCTCGAACAGAAACATTCAGACCACCACTGGCTCGCGCTCGCCCGCTCAAAGGCCCGGGGACAAGTGATACGAGCCTTGAAAAACTGGAGGTGGCTCAAGGTGGAAGTGGAAGCGGCCGGGGGCTCTGCGCTGGATGGGGGCAACAACCAAATCGGGCAGCAAGGGGGGGCGACGGCAAATGCGCTCAACACCGGTCCCCGGACCCCTGCCAAGGTCGAAACTAACGAGTCGCTCGAGCCGCGTCCCACCGTGGCGACGAGGGGGCCCCCCTTCTTCTCCCGCTGTCTGCCGGACAGATCCAACGTGGGGCCAGCCGGCTCCAACTGCCGAGCGCCACGAAACGGCTGCTTCCAAATCGTTCAAGGCCGTCAAGCTTTGCGCATCGCCCTCCACGATGCCCCCCCCCGCGCGCTCATCTTGTCGACCTCGCGCCGTCACCCTGGAGAAGGGCGCCTCTCGTGGCCGGGGGGCGCGGGGCGCCGAACGCGACGATCTCTGCGTCCCAGAGGGTGGCCTCAAACTTCGGTCCCGGGAGGCCAGGCCCCTCAGACCAAGGATATCGAAGAGTCGGTCAGGGATTGGGAGCCCTGGAGTCCTCATCGCAGGCCCCCTGTGGTTTCTTTTGTTTTCCATGCAGGCCAACCGTCAAAGCCACAGCGGACTCTAAGGACGAGAAAACGGGGCCTCAAATCCCGTGGCGCGACTCCTCCGCCTCCAGCACAGGCCTGGAGGCCGCCTCGGCCCACTCGCAGGCCTCTGCGAGGCCCAGGAGCCCAGTGAGAGGGAGAAGGATGGAGGCGGAGGACGGCGAGGGGGGGAGGAAGACGGACAAATTAGCCTGGCGAAGAAGCCAACCATATGCACTTGTGAATACCGCAAGTTTGAATACCGTATGAGGTGGACCTCCCATTGGGTAACGCCCGCATGCGGGCCGTGTCGCTGGGGCCTTCGGTGGAGCTCTCTGTGGAGCCACGAAACGTGTGAGAGGGGTGTGCCGAAACGGGGGTGGCGCCCAAATGCGGGCTGCGCCAGTGGGACATTAGGCAGAGCTCCCTGCGGGTGACGCGCACATGCGGGCTGCGCCAGTGGGACCTTGGGTGGAGCTTCCTGCGGGGCCACGAAACGTGTGAGCGGTGTGCCGAAGCGCGGGTGTCGCCCACATGCGGGCTGCGCCACTGGGACCTTGTGTGGAACTCCCTATGGGGCCACAAACCGCGTAAATGGTGTGCCGAAACGAGGGCGCCCACATGCGGGCTGCGCCAACGGGGCCTTAGCTGGACCCCCCCCCATAAAACCACGAACCGTGAGAGGGGTGTCCGCAACGGGGGTGGCGCCCACATGCGGGCTGCGCCAGTGGGGCCTTCGCTGGAACTCCCCATGGGGCCGCGAACCGTGTGATGGGTGTGCCGAAACAGAAATGGCGCCCTCAGGCGGGCTCCACCAACGGGACCTGAGGCGGAACTCCCTGCGGGCCACTAAACGTGTGATCGGTGTGCCGCAACGGGGGTGACGCCCACATGCGGGCTGCGTCGCTGGGACCTTGGGTGGAGCTCCCTGTGGGGCCACGAAACGTGAGAGTGTGCCGAAACGGGTGTGGCACCCACATGCGGGCTGTGCCGATGGGACTTCAGGTGGAGCCCCCACGTGTGAGGAGTGTGCCGAAACGGGGGTGACGCCCTCATGCGGGCTGCGCCATTGGGACCCTAGATGGAACTTCCTGTGGGGCCGCGGACGCGCGAGTGGTGTGCCGAAACGGGAGTGATGACGATGATGACAATGACAATGACAATGATGATGATGATGATGATGATGATGATGATGATGCTGATGATGATGATGAATCATGATGATGATGATAATGATGATGACGATGATGATGATGATGATGATGATGATGATGGTGATGAAGCTGATGCTGGTAATGATGATGACGACGACGATGATGATGATGGTGGTGATGGTGGCGGTGATGGTGATGCTGATGAGGTTGAATATGATACTGATGATGATGGCGATGCTGATGATGGTGCTGATGACGATGCTGATTCTAATGCTGATGATGATTATTAGGACGGCGATGCTACTGGTAATGACGGAATTGATAATGCTGCTGTTGATACTGGTGATGGTGATGCTGATGATGATGCTGACGGTCATGATGGTGCTGATGGCGATGCTGATGATGATGCGGCTGATGCTGATGATGCTTGTAGCGATGGTGATGATGATGATGCCGATGATAATGATGCAGATGATGTTGATGATGCTGATGCCGCTTATGACGATGATGATGCTGTTGATGATGATGATGCTGAGGATGATGATGATGGTGATGATGATGATGATGGTGATGTTGCTGACGCGGCTGGTGATGATGATACTGATGATGATGTTGCTGATGATGACGAGGATGCTGATGATGGTGATGCTGATGATGATGATGATGATGCTGTTGCTGATGCTGCTGCCGATGATGCTGATGATGATGATGATGCTGATGATGATGATGCTGCTGATGCTGACAATGATAGGAGGCGGAAGGGCGCAGCGGGTGGGGAGGAGGGGCGATGAGGGGGAGAAGTGACGCGGGGCGCTGTCTCATCAAAACGAGGACCCGACACCACAGGGTGTTTGGGGTCAATGAAAAGAGGACGGGCATAAGAGGGAGGGGGAGGAGGATGAGGGCAACGAGAAGGGAGGAGGGGGGAAGGGGGAAGAGGTGGACGGCAGAGGGAGCATGTGGTTGTGGTTGTATCCAGATCATAATCTCTCTGCAATTGTGCAACACTTGATATATGACCGCCGAGCACTATCAAAATGAAGGAACCATCATGCGTGACTCAAAATCGGCGCATACACACAACAGCGATTGGATATCTAATCTCGGCAACGCCGAGGATAACGTTAGGGTCGAGAGTCCTGACGAAATCAGTACATGGAATGATCAGTGCTCGGTGGCAGTAGGTCCCAGGAGTGAGAAGTCAGGCATCGCAACTTACACACAAAGGGAGAAGAGAAAGAACTAATGATGGAAGAGGAGGAGAGGGGGAAACGGAAGAGCAGTGAGGAGGAGCAGGATGTGGCAGGCGCAATACAGACCGATGAGAGAGGAGCAGGAGAGAGGAGGGGGAGGAAAGCAGAGGACAAAAAGGAGGTGTGGCGCGGGCCCTCACCGCATCAGCGCCCACGTTGTCGGCTGCCAGAAAGCACGAGGGAGAGAGGAGGAACAGGAGGAAACGCTGAGCCCCCTCGGATCCCCAAGATCCCTGAGTAGGGGTGCCCGCAGCCGAGCCAACAAATCCGCGCGGACCTTCCAAAGGTAATGCTAATGCAAATATTATTCTGAGACATCCAGCATCCCCTAAGATCTCCTCCGCCCTCCACTTCCCCCACCCTCGTCAGGCAGCGGCCGCAAGAGCAGCGACAACGGGGGCCGTCTTCAATCCACTTCCCGTGTTCCTGCTCCTCCGCTCCTGCTCTGCCTCCTCCTCCTCCTTCTCCTCCTCCTCCTCCTGAACCCTTTCCTTCACCCCCTCCTTCTCCACTCTCCTCCCCCTCCTTTCCCACTCCTTCCTCCTCTTCCCCCTCTCTCCCCCCCCATCCATCCCCCTCCCCTGCCAGTCTCACGTTCTGGCTGAGCCTCAGCTCCTCGAGCTGCGTGAGCTTCTTGACCTTGACGGCTGGCATGGGGATGGTCTTCTGGTACAGATGGTCCCTGCCCAGCGCCAGAGGCGAGCGAGGAGAGGGAGGGTGTCGGATGGTGGAGCGGAGAAGGGGGGAGAGGGATGGAGGGGGGAGGAATGCGGAGGCAAGCGAGAACAGAGCGGAGGTGGAGAGAGAGGAGAGGGGTGAAGACGTGGAGAGGGGAAACGGGCGAGGGGGAGAGGAGGGACGCCGGAGGGAGAGCAAAGGGGCAAGGGCGAGGAGTGGGAGAGGAGGTTTGGGGGCAGTTCTCCCCCCCTGCCTCTCCCGTCTCCCGAACCCCGCCCGCCCTGTCACTCGCTCTTGCCCTCCCTCGGCCTCCCTCCTCTCTTGCGCCATACCCCGTCCGCTCCACCTGCCCCTCGGCGTCCCTTTCAACCTCCCCCTCCGGCCTCACCCGCCTTTCCCAAACGCCCCCGCATGTCGCTCCCCCTTCGCCCTTCCGCATTTGACCGCGCCCCCTTCCTCGTGGTACAGTCAAGCCGTATAATGATGACGCGCGATAAGGATGCAAGTGCCTGGGAGTGCCACGTAAACACTCTGCGGGCGTGGCGCGGCCAGCGAAAGCTGCCGAGGATGGGCCGAAGGGGAAGGATACAACGGTAACCTCGGGAAGTCGCTCATCCTTACAATGCCTGTTGACCTGATTCCCCGCCGCCCTCCCCCGCCCTAGCCCCCGCTGCCCCCTTTCACATCCCAGGAAGTCGGCCCGCGTGTTGGTTACCACAACGGACGACCTTCAGCACCGATAGGCAAGCAATTCGGATCCCATTGCCCATTGCAGCCACATGGGCAACACATGTTCCGAGTACACGGTGGGAACACATATCGCGTCGCATGCGCCGTCTCGGACCGTGCCCGAGATCGCAAACTCAGGAAGCACCCTGCCGTATAGGACCCCCGCAGAGCGCCTGAAGGAGTCAAAAGGCCCTCCCACCGCTCCAAAATCACAACAACGACGTGTGCGTTGAGCGTTCGCTTTGGGGGGCGCCCTGCTTCTTATCAGGACTGGTCGCCGGGTGGAGAGCCCCTCATAAGCACAATGCGGACGCGGCCGCCAGAAACCCTCGCGAGGAACCAAGCCCCGAAAACCCGCGCGCGAAGTGCAGACGAAAACACCTTAGAGCGCTGAACACCCCGGAACAAAACAGCATCGGAACGCCGCTAAAAGTCACCGCGGCAGCGCGCCGTGCGACCCCCTTCCCCCCCGGCGAAGAGCATCGGGTCTCTTGGAGCTCGTCCACGCTGCTCTGCTCGCAACAAGACCACGGCGTGCTGGCCCCTTCCAAGCTTTTGCTGAGGCATGGCCTGCGACAATGACTGGAGCTCTCCTCCCAGCCCGCGGGATCTGAAAGGGAGAACGGGGCGGAGGAGGAGGAAACGAAGGAGGTTGTTTTGAGTTGGTGTGCGTGCGTCGCTTCGCAGAAATCGGCACCACGAAGATGCGCCCGCTGTACAACTCATGTACGCCCAAGGATAAAAACATGATCGACCCACGAACCCGGAAAGGAATATAGAAATGCAAGGCATGGCAACATTTCAAAGACACCTGATTGGGCTACGGGCAAATGCAATACTGAATGTATCGATCTTGATGTACTGTGCCGAGGGCTGTGCTGTGCTACGCCGTGCTGAACTGCGATGTGCCATGCCGCGATTGTGCTCTATATAGCGTTGTGGATCGAGTCCTCCCTGGCATCCGAGTCCTGATCGAACTGGTCTGGATCTTAAGCTCGAGCTGCCTGAGTAGATGGTAGCTGCCCCAGAACTAATCGGCAGGGGGACATGTCAGGAGGACGCGCCGCGGAACTTCCAAAGGGACACGCCAGGCGACGTGCCAGGGGACGTGCCAGGGGCATGCACCGCGGGACGTGCCAAGGGGACGCGCTACGGACGTACCAATGGACATGCACCGCGCGACGTGCCAGGGGGACTCGCCACGGGACGATCCGCGAAACGTGCCAGGCAACATGCCACGCTGCAATGCTAAGGGTATCGATATATATGTACCGTGCCGAAGGCTGTGCTGTGCCTGGGCGACCTGGACACGTGAAAACACGCGTGTCGCTCAAGACGTTCTCAACACATCCTCATGCTAGACATCCGCCTGAGCAACCTGGACACGTGCAAACAAGCGTCTCGATCGAGACTTTCTCGACACATCCTCATGCTATGCATCTGCTTGGGCGACATGGACACGAGAACACAAGCCTCTGGTTCGAGACATCCTCAACAAATCCTCATGCTAGACATCTGCCAGGGCAACCTGGAGGCGTGAAACCAAGCGTCTCGCTCGAGACGTCCTCAGGACCTGGGCACGTGAAAACAAGCATTTCACTTGAGAGATCCTCTGAAGTCAGGTCCCCAGGAGAGGACAATCTATAACACAAAACAAGCGCTTCGCTCGAGACATCCTCAACAAAATATGAACACAATCGTTTCGCTCGAGACATCCACACACATAATTTCGCCAGCCCTACGCGACCTCGTTATTCATCGCAAAATAATTTCGCCTGCCCTACAGCCGTCAGCCCTACAGCCCTAAAAGAGAACCCTGTGCCCCAGTCCTTTCCGGGGGGGGGAGGGAAAAACAAGCAACCAACCCACGGCCTGCCCAAGAAACAAAACATAATGTTGTGTTGGCCGTTGCGGCAACTATGTTCAAATAAACCCTCCCTGCAAGATCCGTGTTTTCATCTCCACGCAGGAGCTTAATTAGTTTCATTGCGGGATGTGCGTCATTGGATGACAATCGTTTGGTATAGATCAATCGTGCCAGAACAACATTCGTGGGAATTCAAATCACCGAATCAACATGACTGTTGCGCCCTGATAAATTTATGTTATGCTCGAAAGCCCGGCCTGGGACCTCAGCGCGACGAGTCAACAGGATGGTTGCGGCCTGCCAAACCGCTGTTCCTGCCAAGCCGCTGTTCGTGAAACGTCAGTGCCGCAAATAAGCGCGGCTGTTAGTCATTGGCCACCCTACGTCGCACCCGAACACCATTCTTGGGACTACAATTCAGCGAATCAAAAAAAATTGTACCCTGAGGGAGAATACGGTAGAACGCTATTCTTGGGACTTCGCACCGTGGGAAGCCCCCCAAATCTTCCAACACGCATCAATAACACTACGACGTCGGTATAAAAAAAAACACGGGATGTCGTCGATGCCATTTTCACGGGTGGCGGAACCAAGGCCTTGTGCGCAGAGCACCGGCCCCTCTCAGGAACGTGATGCCCCAGGGTGGGAGACCCTGAGGCGCGGCGACGACGGACCCCGGGGCCACCCACTTGACGCTGCCAGCGTCGAGACTCGCCCACGCAACTCGCTCCTTTCCGCCCCGTCTCTCAGGCACCCCCACCCCGCCCTACTGCGCACGCGTGCGCGAAGGAGCAGAGGCACGGTCCCGCTGCCCCGTGCACCTCCCATTCGGCCCCCCTCGGCGAAGGCGCCCACTGGGGGGGGGGTATCGAGAATACAGTCGACCAGTATCATGGGATGCGCGGTGAGGGTGCAAGGGCCTTGGAGGCCCACGCGTTAGTCGCTAAGGATGGGCCGAAACGGCAAGGATGCAGGGGTGCCTTTTGGAAGGTTGCCCATTCCCATCTACGGATTGACTGCATCCCGCATGCGCGCCACGGGGCCGCCGCCCCGGAAGGACGCGCCAGCGCGCGTCGTAACCACCTCAGGTCCCCAGGTCAACCCGCGCGACGTCGCCCGAGGCGTGCGGAAACGTCAAAAGCGGGTGTCCTGTCCGAGGCGGCCGCCATCTTCTCGATGATCGACTCGTAAGTGTTCCTGGGAGGCCTGCGTCGTCTCGCCGAGCACGTGCCACTTCGGTTCCGCGGCCGCCGCGTGGATCCTGAGGGGCTCGTCGAAGTCCGGCGTCTTCAGGTCGCCATGGTCGGCTGCCTCCGTGGACCAGTGCGCGGCGGTCCGTCCAGGCTCAGCGCCATGTTGCGCGACCTCAGCTACGCCGAGAGGTCCATTTGGCCACGTCTACGGCCGCCTGGTCGACATGGCACTGTTCGCCGCGCAGGCGCCCCGAGGTTGTCTGTCGACCCCGCCAACTTGAGGCTCGCCCTCTGGCGGAGCTCTCCAGGCCTTTAGAACAGCATCGCGCGGGAAATCGTGCCTAGGAGCTCCTGCGCCGCGATGGCCCTGTTCGCGTCGTCCGCCGTGGCCCACGCCCACAGGAACAAGCCATTCCTCCCCGACCTCCAGCGCGCGCCAGCGAGCTTCTCGCGCGCTGCCTGTTGGAGGCGCTTCCCAACCGCCCGCGCAACAGCCCCCCCCCCCCCCCTTCGCGCCCAAACGGAAATGCGCGCCGCAACGCCAAGCGCCTACCCTCGCCGCCCTCGCCACCGCGAGGCCCACGGTGCAAGCGGCGCAGTCGCAGCGGAGGCCTATCCAGTCCACCTCGCAGCCGCCCCGCCTTGACCAGCTGCGCAGTAGGACGACCATGAAGAGCGTTGCCAATGTCCAGCGTCGCTCCAGATTGTTGACATGGGCGGGCGGCCCCATGGTCCAGTGGCCTCCCACCAGGCAGATGCTCGCCCGAGGTCTGGCCAACCATTTTGAGGCGCTGGGCACGCCGAACTCGCAGGGCAGCATGCCCCGCGTGTCCTCGCGGAATGCGACGAGCCGACACGCGCCCATGACATCGGTGGCGGACGAATAGGTGCCTTCGCGCCGGTCCTCGTGATAACTCAAGAAACAACTCTTCTCTGCGAACCTCGGCATCCCGAACCGGTTCCTGCGTCGGACCCAGTGTCACGGCTACCTGGCGCGCGCGCCATCGCGCGCGAATCTCCTCTTGCCGCTCGCGCTCTCCAGGGCCGCCAGTGCCGCCGCGGCGAAGATGGCCCGGATACGGTTGAGAAGCTGCCCTCGGCCTTCCCAGCCATCCTGCCCGTCTCGCTGCTGTCTCCAACCCCGCTGAAAACTACGGCGCCTGGCGCGGCCGGTCGGCCGCCGCGTGGTCGAGGCGCCGCTTTGTCTGCGCGTCG